CCTTGTAATCACTTGATTACATCTTTATTAAGCTTGAGTTCTACTGAATGTAGTACTTTTGCATGGTCATGTTTCACTGTTGATGTATATCGAATGACATACGAGGAGATAGTACATGATTTCCCTATTTCTTTGAATCGTACCTAGGCCGATTGACCACGTAACAAAACTTGTATGCCACTGCAAGGAGAGGAACGATAATTTAAAACATATAGTTGATGCCACGAAAGGGCATACCCGTCTAATTTTTTAGTCTCCTTTAAATACCAATATATCAATATCTGTTTATTCAAGTATGGCGGAGGATAGCCAAACAAATAGTTATTATCCTATATTTGATTTAAATAAATAAATTGATGTTTATAGTAACGATTGATTCAATATAATTAAAATGATGTTTTTATTCAACACAATGTTAACAAGTTACATACTCCAAGCATAAATAATTTATATTGCGTAGTTTTAACTTAAAAGGGGAACTACAAGTTTAGGTGTCAATAAGGTTTTGTCCCAAAAAGTTATATGTGAATTTTGTGAACCGGAGTTTGTGGAGTTGGTCGTCATTTTCTTATAATTTGAAAACAATATATTCTTATAAAGACATATTCATACCTGATTTTAATTATAATTTATGTTTTTGAAAAGGTTCTAACTATCATGAGACGTGAAGTGATAGAAATATCAAATCTCAAGCTTTACGAATATTATGAGTCATGATATTTTTAAAATCAATAAGTCACTTAATGGACAATTTGTATATACATAAAAAAAATCACATAATTATAGTTTTATATAAAATATATGAAGTGTTTAAAAGATTCATAAACAAAAACTCAATGGTTTAATATCCGGCCAAAAACAAAACATATCTTGTAAAAAACTCACACCATAACGTGCTTTGATACAAATTGATCCACCTTGGCATGTCACACCTAACATCGCCACCACCATAGTTGCACCTTGATGTTGTAGCACGCTTTGACCCCGTCTAAAGTCCATGACATGTTTTTAGTGAGCACTTCATGTTTTTTTAGTGTTGTTATACTGATAAATTCTTTTTCTTTCTTTTTTACACACAACAAAAGGTCTTTGATAAGTGAGAATCAAGAGAAGAGGTGGAACATGTGATTGATAGGAATGATGCGATATATGTACCATTTTGTTATTCAATACGAGACCATACTCGACAACAATGGCTATGGGCCCCAAGACACTTTAATGTTTGATTGTAATTATGCCTCTTCGTTTTGTTTTCTACTTGTACTTTTTCTCATATAAAACAAATGAGGGCCACTCGATGCATGCTTTTGCTCTATATGTATGACATTTTTAATTTTTTATTTTTTATATTTGAACAGTCGTATGAATTATGAAATGTTTTGTCCAGTTTAACTATTTGAGATGGTGGATTCTGACACCCTGAACCTTATGAGCCAAATGGTTTGATACAGCGACAACAGAAAGTATATTTTGATGACAGTTAATGTCAAAAGGATTAATGAGTGCAAGAAGTAAGACCTAAGAGTATGAAATCTAGACCTAAACAATATCCATTGTTGAATATATTTTAATGCTAATTAAAACAAGTGATATAATATAATATTAGTTAATAAATTTGGATATTGGGCCTACACATTAGTATCAAGTAAAAAAATCATTGGAAATATGGGCTATTGGATATGTCGATTATATTATTTTGGGCCTTTGGGTTATTTAGTTATTCTAGTTTCCGTGACGAGCTTCATTCAGCTTGTTACTTATTTCCATGTACATAATTTCCAAATCTTCCATTCTAATAAACAAAACTTTTTATCCACATGTATTTCCATCATTTTACAAAGTTAATTTCTAATTATATATAAATATTCAATTTAATTCATTTTTTATGTGAATCTAAATTCATTTATGTATACATTATTATTTACAAAATAATTTTTTTCTATCATGTTTTTAGTAAACTACTTTAATAAATTTTTATAATTTTTAATTTTTTACTATCATGTTTAATCATCAATATTGTTTTTCCTTTTTATCCTTAGTTTGTACGGTTTGTAACCTAATACAAAACTATACAAATTGATTTTAGACCAAACCATTTACTGGTTTTGAGTTTTTGGATAAACACAAAAACTAGTTTTCCTACATATTGGGTTCGGTTCATAACCGAATTTTCCTTGCAAAAATGTAAACGAGTGTAATTGGCTGTAACTTATTATAATCTTCTTTTTATCGTTCTTCACTAAAGAGTTTTGCATACAGTTTTAATTACTCAGTTCTAGTTGGGTTTCAATATATATATATATATATATATATATATATATATATATATATATATATATATATATATATATATATATATATATATATATATAGAGAGAGAGAGAGAGAGAGAGAGATGGGTTCAATTGAGAAAATAAAAAAGGTTGAGAATGAGGGAATCATTCTCGGCCATTCATTTAATCTAAGCATAAAAGACACGGTGGCAAACGTGTAAATATCGTAATAACCTTCAATCTCAAATATGTAACTATAGAGAATTCGATAACTGTTCGTTCATCATCAAAAATTTTCCTCCAACCTTCAATAATCATCCAGATTTCTTCGACTAAACCGGAATTTCTTCGTTGTTCATAAAATTGGAATCGGAGTTCTGAACTCGCAATCACAGTCGACATTGAGGGACTTAGAATCGGTACTCACAGGTTCCCAATCGGATTTTCGGAAATCAAAATCAAATTGAGAAATCGATCAGAGATACGATGTCGAATCTGAAGTCGAAATCGGAAGTATATGATGATTTGGAATTGATAACTTGATGTTTTTAACATTTTTAAAATAGTTAACTTGTTTGCACTCTAACTGTTTGATGAAATGTATAAACTAAATTACCACGTTATATTCACATATGAATATGTTTTCTCACCTGAATCAGTATATGATTATTAAAAACACAAAAAAATATGCAAGTCTGTATGTTATTCGTATGTGAATAACATATAAAAATTATATATATTTGTCAAAATACCTTTAATATTCACAAGTAAATATACCTTGTAATATTCATATGTTAATATACTGTGTAATATTCATAAGTGAATATATCATCTAATATTCACAAGTGAATATACTCTCTAATATTCACATGTGATATACCATGTAATACTATATAATATTCACATATGAAATATCATTTAATACTCATAAGTCAATATATCATCTAATATTCACAAGTGAATATACTATGTTAATATTCACAAGTGAATTCATCGTCTAATATTAAAATATGAGTATACTATGTTTATTATATGGTATATTCATATATGAATGATACTTAAATTGTAAAAAAAAAAAAAAAATCATACTTTTTATTCATAAGTGAATAACGAATGTACTATAATAAAACCTGATGCATTGTTATTCATTTATGAATAACGACACTGAAAATATAAAAAAATAATAATTTTATCTTAAACTATATTAATATGGATGTCTTGTAGAGAATAAAAAATCATGAATTTTGGTATATTTAAAATCATTTTTTGATAAAAATAGCTAATAAAAATTTAAAGAAAAAAAACGAAAAAACTATGTTTTTGTATATATTTAGGTAACGATTAGCATAGTTTAAGGAAATATGTTATGTTGGAAAACACATGTGCATTCGATTCCCATTTCCGCCGGTACGTTGGAGATTTTTGCAGCAAAAATAAATGATTGGCTGAGAATGATTCCCCCATTCTCGACATTTTTTTTTCTTAATTGAACCCTTCTCTCTCTCTCTCTCTCTCTCTCTCTATATATATATATATATATATATATATATATATATATATATATATATATATATATATATATATATATATATATATATATATATATATATATATATATATATAGGGTTAGGTTCATGTGAGACGGCCTAATTTTGTGAGATTGTGAGACGTATTTTTTTTAATTAATTCAAGTTCCGAAAATAATATTTAAAAAAAAAAAAAGAATTTTTGGATTTTTCCATTTATTTTGTATTTTAAAATTATTTTTTAGAATATGTCAGTGTAATATTCTATTAGAATATTTCATGTATTTTTCAAAAAAAATGGAATTTATTTATTTATTTATCTTTTTTTAGTTAATTCAAGTTCCGAAAATAATATTTAAAAAAATAATTTTTGGATTTTTCCATTTATTTTGTATTTTAAAATTATTTTTTAGAATATGTCAGTGTAATATTCTATTATAATATTTCACGTATTTTTCAAAAAAAAAATGGAATTTATTTTTATTTTATTTTTATTTTGTTTTATCTTTTTTTAGTTAATTAAAGCTCCAAAAATAATATTTAAAAAAAAAAAATTTTAGATTTTTCCATTTATTCTACATTTTAAAATTATTTTTTAGAATATGTCAGTGTAATATTGTATTAGAATATTTCACTTATTTTTTCAAAAAAAAAAAAAAGCAATTTTTTTTTTATTTTTTTTCTTAGGTAATTCAAGTTCCGAAAATAATATTTAAAAAAAGAATTTTTGGATTTTTCCATTTATTTTGCATTTTAAAATTATTTTTAGATTTGGTCTCACGGTCTCACAAAATTATAATGATCTCAAATGAACCTGAACCTATATATATATATATATATATATATATATATATATATATATATATATATATATATATATATATATATATATATATATATATATATATATATATATAGGAGTATGATCAAATGAGAACACCTAAAAGGTTGAGAACGCAAGAATCAATCTGAACCATTTAAATATTTAGATCTAGGACTATTATTAAATGGACGATTTATGATAAATTCTAAAACTACGGGTATTAAAGTGTAACTTTTAAATTGATAGAATGGCATAATAAGAATTGCAAAATTACCTATTTCCTACAATTTCTCACCCTCTCTCCTATTTCCTTTCATAATCCCGTATCTTTATCTCCACCGATCTCTCTTTAGGGTTTCAAAATAAGCGCCTCTCTCAATGAATTCGGGTCCTTTTTCTTTCCTCTCTTCCCGTCGATCGCTCCATTGCCGTCTTACCCCAACTTCAGGTTTGAATCCACGTATCAAATCAGTGACATTGGATTCCAGTTCCACGGCAATCATCGACGATCCGACATCGGCTTTCGCTTTAGAAGAAGAAAGTCCAGTGAAGATCTGCGCTAGGGTTAGGGTAATGGTGTTGATGAAAAGAAAAGATGAGGAAGGTATCGTATATGAAGCTTAAACGTAGTCAAAACCTAAGGCAACGACTACTTCTATCACCTCTCACTTCAACACCGATTCTAATCAATGATATAAGTGCCGACGTCACCTGGCTTGGACTCCTTCCTCATGAGGTCTCGTTTCTCTGCCTTCTTGAGACAATCCCCGATGACTGTCATGTCGAAATCAACGAAACTGGTAATCCTAGGTTTTATCTTTCTTTTTCTAATTTCATGTTCCAATTTTTTTAATATTCTTGTTTACGTTCTAGGAAAATAGAAATTGAAGAGAATATAGGGCTAATTTGTATTGTAGTTGAAGTTAACTCTATGTTCATTCAAAGTGAACGATAGTTTGAAATCAATTTACTCGTTGAATAATACAAACCTGGGATAGTGATGGGTGGGGGATATCTGGAGCATGATTGTGGATTGAGTAGATCAATTGGCTATTTTTTGGAATCTTTGATTTTTCTTGTTTTTTTTTTTTTGGGAAAAAAACCCCATTTCCATTAAGCTCAAAGGTAACCTTACACTCCCTTCAACTTTTTCATCTAATATTCGTTCTATTGATTTACATCATCAAAAGTGTATTCATTTATGAATATAATTACAATTATAGAAATTCATATGTATTTTGTATTTTGTTCAGTCTCTTCATTTACTAAATTTGCTTCATTTAATTGATTGTTAATTGTATTTAATTATGATTTTGGGGTTTTCTATCAAGAACATGAAATGATGAAGTATGAAATTGTTTCAGGAGCGAAGAAAGAACAATATGGAGCACCTCCACTGATTTGGTGGTTCATCGCAGTAGTGGAGTGGCAGGGGCTATTCTGGCAACCTCTTCACCACTTCGTTTTCTTGTTCCAGTTACTGTCGATGAGAGCGGGAGGAAGCAGAAAGAAAACGACAACAGGGGGTGTTTGGGTTGCTTGGTGTGTCATAAAACAGTGGGAGAAAACGGAAGGGGTTGTTGCTCTTGGCTAGCCAGAAACCACTAGCAAACACCTCTAGTGGGGGTGTTTTTGTTGCACCTCGAAGACAGGAGAAAAATAAGGGAGTGTGAGAGGAAATAGAAGAATGAAAAATTGTATTTATCTGTGAATAGCAGTGCATTCATGTGTGAATAATAGTGAAGGAATAGTAGTGCATTCATGTGTGAATAGCATTATATTCATTTGTAAATAACATTGAATGAATGTATTTATTTATGATTAGAGGTATTCATTTATTCAATTCTGAATAACAAGGTACTTATTTGTTAATAGCAGTGTGTGAATAACAATGTAAGCATGTGTTAATGAGTATATTTATTTATGATTAGATGTATTCTTTTTGTGGAGAAATGATAATTTTTACAATCTTTTTTATTTTCAACTAATTAAAAAAAGAAATTGGATTACTTGTAAATTGATGTGTATTTATTTGTGATTGGAGTAGTATCATGTTTTTTGAAAAAAAAATCATTTATGAATACAAATGTACTAATTTGGTGTTCAATTTCTATTCATTTTTTTGAACACAAAAAAAAAAAAAAAAAAAAAAAAAGAAAAAAACCCTGAAATAGGAGAAAAAAATTGATTTTTTAAAGAATTTTTTTCAATTTTAAAATACATTTTGATAATATGTTTTTTATATTCCATTAATAAAAAAAATAAAAAATTGAATATTTATTTCTTTTTTGGTAACTGATCCTAAATTTAAGGGAATTTGATTGAATTTTAATTTATTTTAATTTAATTAAAATATACAATTACTAGTATACCCTTATATATTGATTGGTCCAGAATTGTTCTCGCGTTCTCAACCTTTTAGGTGTTCTCATTTGATCATCTCCCTATATATATATATATATATATATATATATATATATATATATATATATATATATATATATATATATATATATATATATATATATAAACTAATCGTTTACCCGCGTTAGGCGAGGATTGTGAATAATTTGTTTCATAAATTAGTTTCTAAAGACAACCACCTTTTATTTTTATTTATATTATTTGCACAAATAAATTACATCTAAACAATTATCAACAAAAGACAATGTAAGCAAAATGAAATCAATAAGAATTAAAAATGAAAAGCTAGGATTATTTAAGAATATACATGAACAGATGATTGATTGTGTATTATTAATCGTGTAACAGTTTTTTATAGAACACATTTGATGTATATATGTCACTATCGTTATTGATTGTGCGGTGCACCAGGCAACAAATAGTTTGATTCGTCAATTTATTTTCGAAAATGTTTATTTGAAATTTGAAATTTGATGATAGAAATGTATTTTTTTTTGCCAGAAAATATATTTTGATGTGAGATGGAATTGGATGGAAAATATTGTAACTTCACAAAAATATTAAGAAAAAATTTCGATTTTAAAGCACTAAAAACCATTCCAAAATACCATAAGTCAACAAATCCAAAACATGAGTTTAGAAATTTATATTAAACATAATAGGAACTCTCAAAGTCGTTAGGTGCGGAAAGTCATCGATAGATGCAATATAATCAAGCCGAGTCATTTCTCATACTACTAGAAGTACCTGAAACAATCAAACTTTAAACCATAAGCACGAACTTCAATGAGTTCCCCAAAATACCGCATATCAATATGTGCCCCGCCCAACATAAATTTAAGAGTGACAAAGATAATCTAACATTCTACTTAACATAGTGAAAAGACTCGCAATACTAATCAGAGTAGACTAAATTGCAACTTACAAAGATAGGAAATTGGAACTACACACCACTTGATGAATAACAGAAGGTCAAGCCTTGGTATACCAAAACTAGTACTTTGACTAAACGTCAACCACATCAAAAAGTCCATGATGAACGGTCAAAGTCAATGGTCAGCCACCACGTCGTGGCAGCCACACAACAAAATTGTCATGTGTGAAACCTGCTATCAAGTTGTGGTAAGACCCTTTCTACGCAGTGGTCTTAGCTTTATCAAAATTATAATGAGTTTTACCCAGCACGTCGTAGTAAGGCCCTTGCCACGTCGTGAGGACAATGATATATATAATTATGCACCAAGGTCTTAATCCTTTAAACCAAACATTCATACTATCAAGAGAGCTTCGTAGCATCCTTAGGGATCATACACATCCTAACTTTTTGTACATGCATGTCCAATGCATGTCATACTCCAAACTAGGTTAAAATGGAATAAATTAGGCTAAATTCCCCTGCATTGCATTAAATCATCAAGGAAGTCCATATCTAAACCATATAATAAACTTGGGACTTTATTGACCCATAAAGTTGCAAACTTTATCCAGATGTATCACTAAAATATTCTCAACATGAAGAACTAGGCTCAAATCCAAGATCTACAATGAAATAAAAATAGAGGTGATGATTTGAGGGGCTTACAAAGGTCCAAAATATGCACAAAAGATGGAAATGAGCTAGCTTGATGATTTCTTGCTCTACAAGATCCTCCTTCTCTTTCCAAAGGCCTCAAATCACCAAAAATGAGTTCCAAATGATCACTAGATGCTAGGGTTTTTTTGGGAGCTCTTATGGGGCAATAAGGACTGAGGTTGGTTAAAAACTTATCCCTCATATCCTTTATATAGGGCCCAAAGCCTAAAACTTAGGATTTTATACAGAGAGCGACACCGTGTCATGATAATTAAGTCACCACACTATGGTGGGGATGACACTACCATGCCATGCTACTCTAAACACCATGTTGTGGTAAGGTTAAAATCCAAAATTGAAATTAAATCACAAGAAAATCTTTGAATAATACTATCTAAAAATCTGGATGTTACAACTCTCACCCACTTGAATTAGATTTCGTCATCGAAATCTGCTAGTACAAACAACTCGGGTAATGCTCTTGCATCTCCTCCTTGGATTCCCAAGTCCACTCGGAACCCTTCTCGTGCTTCTATTGCACCTTAACCAAGCCCACCACCTTTTTTCACAAGGAATTTGTCTTCCAGTGAAGGATAGCAATCAGTATCTCCATATAATTTAAACGCACATCAATCTAAATGTCATCCAACGATACCACTACAGACTCATCAGTTAAGCACTTTTGCAACAGGGAAACATGAAAGGTGTCGTGGATTTAGCTAAGCTCCATTGTCAGATCTCATTGGTATGCAACCTTTTGTAGCCTGGAAATAACCCCGAAAGGACCAATGTATCAATGTACCTAGGGCTCTACTTTACCCACTTTCAGAATCGAATGACACCTTTCCAATGTGACACCTTTAGAATGACATAATCCTACCACACACAAGCTAAGTTAACTCCGTAGTCTTGATCACGACCTCAGTGTTGCATATAACTCACTGACCAACCTCTCCCTAACAATTTGGGTTCCAAAACTTCCTCCCTTATAGCAACTAGAAATGAGGCATATCAATATTGGTGTATTAGCTATTGTTCTATGAGAACTCAACCAAAATAAGGTAGGTATCCCAAGTCCTACTAAAATACAACACACATGCTCTAAGCATATCCTCTAGAATTTGAATGGAATGCTCACTCTGACTGTCGTTTCGAGGGTGATATGTAGTACTAAAATGCAATCAAATACCCAAATCCTCATGGAACTTACTCCAAAAACCTAGAATTAAAACGGAAATCCCAATTAGAAACCACTGAAACTGTACACCATGACGAGCGACCACCTCTCTAATGTAGTTATCGGCCAACTTATCGTTGGAAGAGCTCTCCTGAATGGGGATAAAATGAGCACTCTTGGTTAACTTATAGAAAATTAAGTTTCAAGTCCCTATACATCTTCGTCGCACTGGGTGGATTGAAAACATCGATTTATGAGCCTCCTCCATCAAAGTCTACCAGAGACCACCTGAATATGGCATCCACACCCTACCATGAAGGGTCAGCTACTCATGACTATTCTAATAAAAGGAGGCAATCTGACTAACAATCCTCTCACTGTTTGAATGCTCCTACTTCATCTTCTCTCTAATCAGCTCCAACATCGGAGTAACAACAATCATCCTTAAGTGTAAGACCCTAATATGAGCACTATTTGACTTGCAACTCAAAGCATTGACCACCACATTAACTTTCCTTAGGTTATATAATATCTGACAAGAATAATCCTTCATTACATCAAGCCACCTGCGTTTCCTCATGTTCAAATTCGGTTAATACATCAAGTATCACAAACTCTTATCATACGTGTAAATGGTACACCAAACCCCATACAGGAAATAACTCCAAATCTTGATAGAAAAACCACTACACCGACTCTAAGTTGTGTGTAGGATAATCCACCTGGTGAGGTTTCAACTGCCTTAAACTGCCTCAAAGTGTAAGCAATCACATGACCCATCTGCATAAGAACTACCCCCAATCCAAAAATCAAGGCATCACAGTAAACTACAAAATCTTCTACGCCCTCGAGTACGGTCAAGATCGATGCCCCATACAAATTCTACCTCAATGTCTCAAATGTCACCTGCTGCTCAGTACCCCCCCTGCCCATAGAAAAGTAACATTCTTCTTCGCCAAATGGGTTAGTGGAACTAAAATATTAGGGAAGTTTTGAATGAATCTACGATAATATCTGGCTAAACCAACAGAAATCTAAATCTCATATGGAGACTTCGAAACCTCCCACTGCATCATGCCCTTGATCTTAGTTGGGTCGAACAAGATACCATTCAAGTTGGCGAGGTGGCCTAAGAACTCAACCTCGTGCAACCACAACTTATATTTTGAGAATTTGGCTTAAAGCCTCTCCCATCTCAAAGTCTCAAGAACCACACACAAATACTCCTTATGTTTCTCCTTGGTCTTAGAATAGATCAAGACATCATTAATAAACACCATCACTAATGGATATAACATCGGCATACACACCCGATTCATGAGGTCCATAAATGATGCTAGTGCATTGTTATCAACACAAACTCATAATGTCCGTAATAGGTCCACAAGGCCGTCTTCTAAATATCCTCACCCCTGAACCT